GTTGTCTTACGTCAGAAAGAACATACGGTATCTGTTCTTTAGAGACCGCCTTATTTCACTTAACATAACGGTCTTCAGTTAGGATCATTTTATTGCAATAGATAGGATTTCACTCTTGTGTATAGCTGTGAAGTATTTCATGTGTAGAAGTGTCACAGTTTATCCATTCCTCTTTTGACAGGTATCTGGGCTATTTCCATGTCTTTGCTGTTGTGGGTTGCACTGATGTAAATATAGGGTTGCAGGTCACTTTATTAGATGCAGATTTCACTTCAGTTTGATATACTCCCAGGAATGGGAGGGTTGGGTCACACAGCAAATCAGCTGTCAGTTGATCACTCTCCATAATGACTTCCATAGTGCTTGCGGTAGTCTAGATTCCCACCAACAGTGGACCAGGCTACCTTTTCCCCCACAACCATACCAGCAGTTGTTGTTTTCTGTATGTAGGCCAATGTTGGTTTCATCTTCACTTTGTTACCATTTTCTTTGTTGTACAGAAGTGTTTTATTTTGATGTTGCCCTATTTATTCTTACTGTAATTGCCTTTGCTTTTGATGTTTTTTCAATCTTTGCCTATGTCTTGTATAGTGTTCTTTATGTTTTCCTTTGGTAATTTGATGGTTTCTGGGTGCAGATTTAGTTTCTTGATCTATTTAGAGTTGATTTTTATATAAGGTGACAGGAGGGCACTTGCTTCTTCCGCAAGTGGATATCCAATTACTCCCAACATCCAAGATAAGGGGAGACTATGCCTTCCCTTACATTCCATGCTGGCTCCTTGACTTCTGTAAGGTCTGTGTGGTATCCACTGGCTCTCTGTTCTAGCATCCCTTCCTTATAAATAGTATCTCCCGATGAGCTGCAGCCAATGACATGTGACTATCTCTGGCTTATTCACTTAAAAAGTCCACTAGCTTATATCAGAAACAAATGAGTTGTGTCATTGATTAAGAGTGTGGAAATTTGATGCTTCTCCATGGTGCTAAATTCCTACTTCAATGGTGGTCTTCCTGATGCTATACTTCAGCCCACTGCCTGTTCTCAAGAGAGGATTTCAATTATCACAGCAGGCAACCTTAAGAGTCTATCCCGGGAGTCCTTTGGTGGGAGGGGGGAGAAGGGTGGGGGGGGGCCCAGCACAGCCCGCTGCTTGGGCGGGGCAGGGGACCCCGGCCTCTTCCTGGCCTGGGGGTAACTAAGCCCCGCGGGTGAGTACTTCGAGGGCTGGCAGGGGGGCTGGGGGTGAAATCCTGGCTCCCCCTGTCCCGCCAGCCGAAAGCTGGCGGCAGGACAGGCTGGGCGGTTCAAGTCTCCGGACGGGGCGGGGTTAAATCCATGCGAGGTGGTGCTCAATGGGGAGCACCCTTCCGGTCCGAACCCTGCCGGGTCAGCCTCGCCCCCATCCGTCGCGGACGGGGGCAGAGACCCAGGCTTGGGCGGCCGTGCACCAAGTGTGCAGGCTCTGCTGGCTGGCCGCCGCGGCGAGCTTGGGGTTTGTGATGATATGAAATAGGTGCTTCGGGAACCCAAAAGTAAGTCCCAGCATTAGTGTAGGTGAAGATATAATTTTGGTGATTCCAGGAAACCGGGACATGAAACTTAAGTAAGTGGGGGACTGAGAGATGAATGTTCGAGGACTAGCAAACCTTAGTTCAATAGTATGACTGGAACAAGGTGCAACACAGGACATGCCCAGCTTGGATTTGGTCTCCAACTGGTTCACATTAAAGCACAAGTGAGCACAGAGGTCTAAGGCAGGGGTCAGACAGGGGGACGGGCTGCGCAGGGTCTGGATTACAGCTGTCCTCTCCCTCGGCACAAAGGTGGATGGGAAAAGATGTACGGGACCGGGCCAGACAATACACACCTTCTGGCGCTCTGGAGACCAGGTGGTGTGGGAGGACTAGGCTAGGTCCCAACCTCAACTTAGCCTGTACAGCTATTTGGGGGATGGGAAGTACGTGGTGCACTGAAAACACTCTACAGGCAAGAAACCAGAACGGGATGATGGCATTCGAAAGACCACTGTTCCTACTAGGAAAGAGGCGAACTGGCACATGGACCCATGATATGGCGGAAACTGGACATGGAGGGGTTTTGATGGAGGGAGCTAGGCAACTCTCTGGCAGGACACCGACTGCAGGTCAGCGCAAGGAACATGCAAGGCACCAGCCAAAGAGGTATAGAAGAGTCCCACTGGCATGCATTTGGCATGGGTTGGGGCGGACCAGGCTGAATCTGTTCATGTCATCCACTGGTAAATCTGACGCCAGAACAGAGTGTGGGTCGACCTGGTCCGGTTGTAACAAAAAGACACACAAGCTGGAATGCAAGGTGAGGTAGCCTGAGCCCGATGCAGCCGCAGGCACCCCAACCAAACATGTGAGAAAACAGGAAAAAGGAGGCGGCAGAGTGCAGGAGGAAAATCGGAGGTTCCTAGTGAACAGCAAATTGCACTGAGGAAAAACGTGAGCTGGGTGGGGGGTAGACTAGACCAAGGCAGGGACACAGGCCTGCTACACACATGGGACCAGATTGGGTGTATACCAGGATGGGCTGACTATTCCATGGAGAAGCTACAATCAGAGTTAGGTGGAGGATGTTGGGCTTAGTTGTTAGCACGTGGGGAAGTGTACAAAGGGTTAGACACGTTGAGATGAACCACAGGGCCAATGGAGGGGCATAGCTGGAATGGAGCGACTGGGAGGGGAATAGTGGGTTCCTCCTCGTGGGTCATCACTCCCCGAGAGGGATGGGTGAACTAGGAAGGGGCTGGGGTGGCTAGGAAGACACCCAACAATATCCGTTAGGAGGTGGAGGAGTAGTTAGATGGAAAGTACGGTGGCAACACTGTTGGCAAGAATATGAACAGAAAGGGTACTGGGGACAGACTGGCTAGTATGCATATATACTGGAAGCCAGAGTAGGAGGTGGCCTGGTTGAGGCTACTGTGGGCCGCCTGACTGAGCTGCAACTCCTACTGTTACGCTGCGTGGGAACAAATGCGTCCAGGGTGGAACCAGGCGGGACTGACAGGAGGACAGGGTGGAGACAGAACCGGCCCCAGCAACTGCAGCCGCCAGTGACCGGGGCAGATGGACTGTGATGGGCCCTATGCTAACTAAAAACAGCAGCGAATCTGGACTGGGAATACCTCAAAATTCTTCGCGATTTACCATTCGAGGACACCGGACTCGGAGGTCCGCTAACCAGGAAAGACAGGAACCAAATTCAAGCAAACAACCTCAGCATCTGTTGGCAGCAGAGACTGGGCAACCGGGGACTCTAGAAGGGATGTGCAATCATGAAACGCTGCAATGGACCACATCATGATTGGGGTGGCGAGACAGGCAATGACATTGAATGGTGAATATTGAAATTGATCGAAGTATCTCGGAGCGCGCCCCACACGGATTGGGGTTGGGCGGGAGTAGGTGGTGGTTCTCCTCTTGTATCCCCTTTAGACCTTGACCCTTTTTTACCCCAATTAAATTTGTAAGGATTGTCAAAATTAAATAAAAAAAAAAGAAAAAAAAAAGAAAAATTATCAACTTCCAAAAAAAAGAAAAAAAAAAAGAGTCTATCCCTGGTTGGTGGGGATCCTCATTGCTCAGAGAACAAAGGCTTGCTCTGCTGTTATGTAGAAGCCTACCTATATGACATGTAGGAAAAAAGCTTCTATTGTTGTACCTGACCTCTGCTGCATGAGTTAAAGGCAGTCGTGTATATGGAGTGTCTAATTTAGTGAACTGCATCATCATTGTTCTCTTATTCCTTATTTCCTTCTTGACCTAACCTCTGGTGGGGAGAAAGAAATAGCACATTTTCAAAAGGAATTGTTGTTTGGAATGAGGGAACTGGATCAAGATGGCATTACACAGACTAGAGTATATCGGATGAGCCAACTGTTGATTTCAAGTCTCCAGAAACTTCGGTTCTGCAAATACCTTTGGCCAACACCCTTCACTATGCTAATGTTAGAGGTTGCTGCTTTGACATTAGGCTTTCTAAAGCTTCCTACACTGTAACTTCTTGCAGTCCCACTTTAGACATAGAAGTTAGTGCATTTTTGATTTTGATATGACTATTTGCTAGTGACTTGAGGAAATTGAACTTTTCCTACAACAGGAAAATAAAACAATTAGGATTATCAAAAAGGACAGCATGCTGTCTTCTGGCTCTCACTTTCTCATTTGTTAGCTCTGCAGGTTCTAAATGATAACACAGCTTGTTTTAATACCAGCTGTGTTCACACTTGGGGAGTTTTATTGTGCACGTTGAAGATCTAGACAGCAGGCATTCCCAGGATCTTATTAGGACAGCAACAGTTGTCAGTTGTTTAATCATATTTACTGTGTGGGAATGTTACAAGATCTGTATCCCGACCTGTACCCATTAACAGACTTACTTCCAGGTCCTATTGACTATCCATAGTATCCTGGATGTTTTAACAAGAGCTCTATGTGAAGAATATAGGACATACCCTCATTATTTTCTTTCATTAACACCGATAAAAATATTTTGTAGCTCTGGAAAAGCACTATATTTCAGGAATATGATAGAATAGATTGCTCACTGTTTGTTACATTGTTACATTTTTCTGCATAAAACAGCTATATGAGAAATGTTTCATTTGTTGCTTTTCCCTAAACTCCCAACCCTGGCTCCCTCTTGTGGCCCAGTTAGAGACTATGTGGAAATGTCCACTCAATATTAAACATATGTCCAGGAAATATCTCAAATATGTACAGGGAAAACAAATCCAACTTTCAATAACTCCTAAGGCGTTTAGCAAGTACCACTTCACTTCAAGGGTCAAAAATTTATCTTGGCATCAGGATCAGGTTCAATTTCTATATTTCCTAGAAACATCCCCAAAGCATATTTTGCTTTTGAAGTAGATAGTTCCATAGTTTGGCTTATTTTACAAAAAGCATTTTCATCATTCGTAAGTCTTGCCAACTTGAAAGTTTATTTCCACATGCTCTTGTACTCACCTATGAATCTTATGATCCTTCGGAGTAAGGGGTTCAGGTAACAGCATTCTCCGGTCAGAATTGTCTTCTCTTGGGCAATCAAGGACTCTCTTGTTGACTTTATGAAATACATGGATATTTCACCAATAAAAATCTGTGGAAGAAATGTTGAAGAAATGTCTACTTGGATAGCTGTTTGAACAGTTGTTTTTTTCTTTTAAAAATAGCATTTGAGGCTCTGCAATCCTTTAACAAGCTTTCGAGTTGGAGAGATGGGAAGTTAGAAACCAGCTTGTATTGAGTCCAATGTATCATCTATTATGTATTCAGAATACTTATAAAGATGTAAATTGATCAATAACTTTACCAATTAGGGTAAGTGTGATGTCTCTGAAATATTCACAGAATTAAAAATTTCTAATTCAAAAGAATCTAAAACAATAATAATTGTTAGTTTCAAAGTTCATGTAGAAATAATCTAATGTGAAAATGTAAATTGATATCCATTATAATAGAACTTTTGATGACTCATTCTGGGATTGAACTTTTTTTTCTTTTTTTTTTTTTTATTACATTGCATTATGTAACACAGTGTTATAGGCACTGAGATTCCCTCCACCTCTCCCCAAACTCTTCCCCCATGGTGGATTCCTCCACCTGTTGCTTTACCACAGTTCAGATTCAGTTGGGATTCTTTCATTGCAAGCATTTACCAAGCATAAAGTCCAGCATCTTATTGTCCAGATAAGTTCAACAGTTTCTTGGGGAGACCATCTCTGGTCTGAAGGTAGAGCCGACAGAGTATCATCCCAATCAATTAAAAGCCCTGACATTGCATCAGTAACAATTTATAACGTTATAGAATTAATTGACATGGTATTGAGTAACCAATATGTTAAAGAAAAAAAGAATGCAAGTTCTGAGCCATATCCTGTCACTTCTTCATTGACATTTCAATTTTAGTTTATATACAACCAGGTTCTATACACCTTAAAATGGCTATAGATTACTATTCAGCTGTCTTGTGTCTATTTTAATTTTAGTATTTAGCAGTTTATAGCATTGAAGCATGATTTTGCTGAACCTGGCTGTTTTTCAGGTAGTCTAACTCTATAACTCTAACAAGATGTGTGTCAATAGTTTAGGTGAACAGTTTTAGGAGGGGTGTGCAGAGAAATCTTCAATACCCTAGTGAGGAGTAACTAATCTTTGTGTCCCACCTAGTGAGGTATAAGTGCATCCATGCTGACCATTTCCTGTCTGATTCTACGCTTTCCTTGTTGTTCTCTATCTATTCTAGATTGTTTGTTTTGAGGGGTTTCTGGAGTGATCCTGATAGTCATTGCGAGAGAGGGTGGGGACCCAAAGTCGGAAACAGGCAAGGACCAGAGAAAGCTCCCCTCCCTATTCCTGGAGGAAGTTTACTGTTGGGATTGAACTTTTTAACATAATGCATAAATGGCAAGAATGAGGAATGACTGAGACAGCCACTGTGTCCAAAAAGGGATTATTTACACACATGTCACAATAAATTATTTCCTGTTAGCAACATCATATATCATAGAAACCCTTAATTCAATATGCTTACCTATATTTCTTTTGGTCTGAACTTGTGAAGTATCTCTTTATTGCTCATACTCCCCTCATTATGTTGATCTAATAACTACAGGTTAGCATTTAAGTCACTGTGACCTTCTGTGGAATGAAGGCTCCCTGACGGCAGGGACCACACTCTGCATTCCTTCATTACTCCGATTGTACCCAGCACCATGAGGAACCAACAGGAATCAAGTTTCCAGGAACTGTCACTGGTACAACTTAAATCTGAGGTCCCTCAATGAAGAATAAAAATAATTATCAACCACCCATCGAATCCTGAGTATCAGGCACTTTAGTATATCATTTTTCATCCCCATAAGATCCTTGGTATAGGTCCAAATGTCCTTGCTTTATGAATGAGGATGGAATTCCATTAACAATCAGTAACTGACCCTGCAAAGCATGTGTATGATATATACGGACCCTGGGATTGTTGTCCAGTTCCCTAGTTTATACTTCCCACTGTTTCATGTGCTCTTTGAATTTCCCTAGTTTTATTTTCACCAAGAAGAACACCAACTATTGGGAGCTGCTTGTTTTGTACTTATTACAGGCCACCTTTATTCACAGCAATGTCTTTCACAACCTTGGCTGAGAGTACTTGATCCTAATCTCTACTGTCATTCTGAAGGCATTATATGAAAAATACCAATCTAGTTGATTGCTATTGTATTTTCTCACTCTCTGCCTTAGAACCTGAAATATGGTTAGTTCTAAAAACAAGGAAGTTTAATTTGAATTGTAATTAGAAAAGAAAAAAGGGAGGGGGACTAGACATTTTGTGCTATATGGAGAACTCATGAAGAATTGCTGTGTTTTGTAAAAGATATTTTTATTTTTATTTGAAAGGCAGATTTTAGAGAAAGAGACAATTTTATAGGGAGGCCTTCCATATGACAGTTCACTATCCAAATGGCTGCAATGGCTGGAGCTGAACCAATCTGAATCAGGAGCTTCTTTAGGATCTCATGTGGGTGCAGGAGCCCGAGGATTTGAGACATCCTTTTCTGCTCTTTCTCAGGTCATAAGCAGGGTCTGGATCAGAAGTGGAGCATCCAGGACACAAACTAGTACCGATATTTAGATGCCAGTGCCACAGGTGGACGATTATGCCAATGTGCTTACCCCCAACTATTGCTGTCTTATAGGCAATCAAGCTCCTAACATCCCTGTAGCTCAGCAAGGCCTTTGGTTTTCTCCTTTATTATTACTAATTTTGTTACAATAAAATTCCATAGGCTCAGGGATTTCCTCGCCCTGCCTCTGATTTTCCCTATGTTACAATAGTGTAGTCCTTCAGAAAACAGCAGAATGATGGACTTATGACTATTTAACTATATCCTGACATTGTAGGCATAGAAAATGGTGCAAAGTTCAGCATCCTGTTATCAAGATAAATAGATCTTTCATCGGCAGTGCATTTTTATTCCAGAGTAGAGATAGCTACTGCAGTGCATGTTCGCTTCTCAGTGTGCTAGTCTCCATTATACAGTTCCTCTAGATGAATATGTACAAACATGTTTGCACACACATTATATATATGATATATATATATATAATTTAATATATTATTTATATGTAATCTTGTATTTTCCATGAAGGTTGCCTTATATCAGAATATATGATATTTGTCCTTTTGGTGTAATTCTCCTTGATTTGTGACTTGCTTCCCTGGAGATGTCCTATGCCCAGACAGTGTGACCCTGAGAAGGACACTATTGGTTAGAAAATGAATAAGGGAAAGAAAGTAAAGAAAAATGGACAAGTCCTGGATGCAATCATTGTGGTATAGCTGATTAACCCAGCTCTTGGGAAACCTGCATCCCAAGTTAGACTGTCAGGATAGAATCCTGTGTCTGCTTCTAATCCAGCTTGCTGCTCATGCACTCGGGAGGAAATAAGTGTTTGCTCAAGTATTTTCATCCTTGCTGCCCATGTCAGACACCCAGACTGAGTTCTGGCCTCCTGACATCAACCTGGCCCAAACTCTGCCTCAGCTTTATGCCTTTGGGGAATGAGTCAGCAAATGGAAGGGCTCTTTCCCTCTTTTTCTCTCTGTTCTTCTTTCAAATTTAAGTCAATAAATTTGAAACGGGAAAGCATTTAGATTTATAGGCCAACATAGTGGTAAGAGTAAAAAGGCTAAATGCTTTGACACAATGCTGCTTTAAAAGCTTAGTAGTGATCATTATTACAACATCTGTGATGACTACATCTTAGAATATTTGTTTTAAACTGAACAAAATGATCTGTTGCCTTTACTTCTGATGACCTTGTTTTATGGCTCTGTCATACTCTTAAAAGGTTATGAGGCTTCTTAGGGTTGGAGGACCAGCTACAACAGAAATAGGGTAGACATGTAGAAGAACATTGTATCTTAGCATCTGAATTGGAGATACCCATCAAATCTGAAGCTAGGCATGGATGCAATGGTTGCTCAGTAGGCAAAAGGGAAATTAGGAAGTCAGAATCCAGAGTTTGACAATAGTCATGCATAACTTACTGTGGCAGGTGGTACCTGAATGTGATTATGAACAGTTAGAAATATATTGTGTCTAGCATCCCTTAACAGTAATGAGGAATTACTGTTCTGCTGTGTAAAAATATTTGAACAGTGTCAAGAACTCTGCCTTCTCTCAATCTCAGAAGATCTGTACACTATCAAGGACTTTCCCCTACACTGATGTCTACCCAAAAACTATAATTACCACGTGTATGTTCCTCTCCATTTGATTATGGTGTTCCTGAGGGAAGATTCTTCATCCTTCACTGTGCAGTGCCTAGAACAGCATCTGGTGTGCAGTAGGCTCAGTATTCTGATTAAGAGTAAATTCTTAAAGGACGTCCATAGTATAGCACTCACCAGCTTTTTCTTGAGGATTAATACTCAGGGAATAGGAATATGTGGCAGAAATCAGACTTTATGTTATACTGCTTAAGAATAAATAAAAACTGGAGACAGAATAATATACAACGAACTGTCTTTTTAATAGTAAAGTTAACTTATTCATCAGCACTCAACATTTGGGAACAGGCACTCTGCCTGACCATGTTCTGGCATCAGATACATACAAAGGAATAAGTTGTGAGGGGTCACTAAGCAGTGAATAGATGTATAATGTGAAATACTGAACTCTCCCTTCCCTGCCTGTTTCAAAGACTGACCTCCTAAGACTTGGGGGATCTCCTGAGTGATGGGACCATCTTTTATTCTCCTGAGCTGACACTTCATGGGTTCCTGAATAGCCTAGGGCAGGATTGGTTATCAGGGGAATCAACCACATGATTAGAAGATTGGAACTTTCAGTTCCACCTCTACCTCTGAGAAAGGGAGAGGCACTAAAGTTTGAATCGATCACTTGCCTTTGTAAGGAAGTCTTCACAATACCCAGACAACAACATTCAGGGAGCTTCAGCATTGCTGAACTCTGCAGCCTGGAAGGCAGGGCAGTGTAACCAAGAGAGCATAGACCTCCCGCCCCCTACCGATGTGTTGTCCCAAACATCTGATGTTTAATCTGCTGACCCAACTGTCTTTTTTTGTAATATCCTTAC